ACAACATTTCTGGAGGTATGTGCTATAGGCGATACATCTGGGAAGTAAATGCTTGTGGTATTGAAAATGCATTCTTAGAGCGACCTTGAGCACAAATCTAACCCCCACTGAGCGAGGCCTGCGAGTCAGAGTCGTCGATGATTCAGTTGCATATCCTATACGCGACTTTGTCTTAAACGACTTCATCAAAAGTCATTTTCAATTATTCTGCTTGGTATCAGGAAATTTCAGCCCGCCAAGCCAGGGTCAGCTTATAAGTAATTGGTTTGACCTCGTCGTGATCTTTGCGGGGTCGGTGGGCGTCAGGCGGAGCTTAAAGGATGTAAAAATTTGAGAGAAACCCCTGGGACCAAACGAATTAGTCGCAAATTCTTCGGTAAGATCGTAGCTGTTAAGTAAGTAACTACGACCAATGTTATCGGAAAACACTTGTCCTGTCGTCAGCCGCGTCTTTCAGGCTTCCTCTTCGAGTCATATGCCGTTCAAAACACGCTAAACAACGGACTGCCACTGCAATGAGTACTTCAAAAACTGGCAGCTCCGAGATGCAATCAGTAAGAAGAACAATTGGCGCAGTGTGTGTATAAATGTTGCTAACTTTCTTAGCGCGTGACGAAATTGTGATGCTAGTGGTGTTCCCTTCTGGTGAGAGTTTTTTGAAAAGTTTCTAATCCCAGGCCACTTTGACTATACCTGTCGGTGCGAATGAGAGTTATGCTAATCCGTAAATCCATAACTCATCTTGCGAGGCTAGCAATTTACGTATGCTGAGGAACACGTTAATTGCTAGCCTCGCACGATGTTATAGATTTTTTATATTTTCGATAGATTACCACAAGTTCTGAGCCGCGAAGCATTGGCTACTTGGGATGCTCAGAGTATACCACGTAGGGCGGGATGCTAAACTATTCATTACGTATTTGCTACCGTGGGACCTCTCCGACGAAGCTTTCGATAGTTAAAATGCAAGGCAAAACTCGTCGCAATCCTCGCATAGAAAGCCTCGATTAGGGCATAGCGGCATACTCAAAACAAATTCAGATTAATATATTTTAAAGCGCATGCCCGCCCTACAAGAAACGTTTATTGCTAGATTGGTGGTGTCTAAAGCCAGGTATATAGACGGCAACCATCACCGTACTAATTTAACAGTTGAAAAGTCCTGATAAATAAAGGGGTGTCGTGCGCTGTATGTAGCGGACTGCCGCTACAAATTTCTTACCGCATCTTCATGAGCCTGCTGGTACAACTACTAAGTTAGCCTCAGTAGTAGGACGGAGTCTATTTGCTAGTGCAAACCGCTGCGCTGTGCGCCCTGTCTCGCCGACTACCACGTTGTTAGCGGAAAAAGCGGCGAGACAATTTGCCAAGTTCTATGAATGCTCAAACCGAAGGAATTTCTTCCGCTTTACCGAATTCTTGTTACACACTTAGTGTGCCCACTAGACCACCATTCGATTTCCATGAGAGTGGACCTATCCTTGATCTTTTAACAGGGGCGATAGAGAATACGTCTTCCATAGCGGCAGGTTGACTTTCTTAAAAGTTTCGGCGTGCGGTTGATACTGATATGACTGTCTTTTGGATGCATTTTTTAAGGTCTGCAAGTATATCGAATAGTCTGAGCAGATCAAATGGAATCGCACGTATAGAGCAAAAGGTAGCTTATCAACGAGGATACGTGGAATATTTACTTCGCTCAAACAGTGCGCCCAACATCCGAGTGGCCGGTAAGAGTGGGGCCGTGATACGGCTTTGGTAACTCTATGCAGAGCAAAAATATTCTTTCTGAAAACATGAGAGCGTGATTAGATTTGTCTGATCACGACTGTAAACTGTCCGATGTCGCCAGGTCGCGACTGAGCTTTATAAGCAGAAAAAGCTGCATGCTTGGGCAGGCTAATTGCATTAGATTATTCACCCGCTACATTTTCGTCTTGGCATACCTGAGTTTGGCTACTGCATTCTTCACTCGTACAGCTCGCTTTCGGCCACAGCGCTGCTTATTGACGATAGTCAAACTGACCCAGCAATTGAATCGCATCGACAAAAATCAATTTAAGTTAAAAGCGGAGCCACTTTGTGACGGCGTCAGAGGAACCCGAAGTAAAGCATGTAAAAAGATATACTGCTCTTTTCTTTGCAAACTTGATTAGCCGTACCGCAGTTACGCAAATTTTTCGGAGGGTATTTTAATGATGCGGCTAACACAACTCGTCTGTAAATTTGAATATTAATGAAACAGGTTCGACTTAGCCAGCTTAACTTCGAGCACCTCGACCGAATCTTGCCAAATTTTGCCGAATGAGCGGAGCGAGAAGATGGCGAACAAAACATTCGACAAACGCCATGGCTAGTCCTCACCTCTTCAATCCAATTAAAGAAGCTGACGACTTCAAAATTATGTTTTTTTGTTGGCCGTCTGAGCAAAATCAGTCTCTCTGTAGGTGCCATAAAATATAGCCAAATCGTTCCTTGTATCTATTTTCGTCACTATGTCATATAAGTAGATATTTATTTGCTGTGAAATTCTCGTGACAGCAAAGTTGGGAAAATTTCTCGTGACAGCAAAATTTTTGCAAATTATTCAGGATGCTTCGCCCAACAAAATATGCTCAGACAGAGTGCGCTAATTGCACGGTGTAAGATATCCTCGTAAGCTCTCGAGATTAATGACTGCCGTGCAAAAAAAAAATCTTTACTTGTTGAGTCTGCGGTTAATGGTGCAGTACAAGCCTCAATTAAGCAGCGGTTTTAGGCAAAGACGAAAAATGGGTCAAAACCGCTTGATGATGATCAAGTCGCTCCGTAGCATGCCATAGTTTGGAGAGATTTCAAAGTATTAGCTCATGTCAGATCTAATAACACGCTGGGGAAAAATTGATACGCCGCAGTAATTAAGAACAATTGCGAATTCCAGTGGTAGGATGATTACTTCTCACCGGTACTATCAGTAAACAAAGCGTGTAAAACACATAGCTAGCTGGTAGGCTCCCAACACATTCTGGTTCTCTTACTAGATAGCAGAGATAGAGTTTTGGGAGGATTGAATTCTAATCTAACTGCTGCTGGTAAAGTCGCATGCGTTTTCGTGAGGTGTAAGAACCTGAGGGTCCAGAAACCGCTTACAGAGCAAATTCAAGAGCTCGATCATCTTTATTTTGGTGTAGGGATCGCATGCGAAGGCGTGGAAAGTCTTCGCCGTGGCGCAGTGGTAATGTTTGATCAATCAAAAAATAATTACGGCTTGCTTGGGTGTGCAGTAGTCAATGTGGCTACTGCATTTACCGACGAGTAGGCTTAATTTACCTGACGGGGGCCAGGCTAGGCGTAGCAAGCTCTCCGACTTGTGAGTATAGTGGCGAGGTGCTATACACCCCGCCGTGAGAATCGGGTGGTTTGCAGTTCATGCAAACGTGGGGCTGTTGCTAGGCTATCGTATTTTATCTTGAATATACCAGTGAGAGCAAAGGCTTTGAGTCTGGACTCGAAGTATCCCAATGGCTTTCCGTGTGTGAGAGTACGTCAGATAACTAGCTTAATGGCTTTTAGCCCGTAGACCCTGCCCTTCCAAGCAGATCTTTAAATTAAGTAGCTTCGTGAGAGATTGGACTCTTTGGTTGTTGAAGTAAGATTTTTAATGTGCCGATGGAAAGGACTATACCCATCAAAACTTAGGAGCATTCATCGCCGCGATGGTGGCAGATCCTCTTATGGGAGCGGTAGCAGTTACCACAACGATGAATGGTGTTTGACA